TTCCCTCTCTGGGCTTCAACTTTCTATCTACAAAATGGGTCCTCAAGCTCCATCCATCCCTAGCAGTTGATGACAGCAGCTAAGACTCAGAAGATCAGGGTCTACAAGGGAAATTCCCTCGCTCAGAGTCACTTCCAGGAAACACTGACATGTTTCCAACCCCCCAAACTCTGGGTCTTTCTCCTTCTAAAACTTGCAAGTACCCCTGTCATCAGTGGCTGAAACCCAGAGACTCAAAGTCACTCAAACCACGTGCCAACTCAGGTCCAGCACTTCCTGAAGACACCTCCCTGCACACACTGCCAGGGCCCCAGTGTAAGTTCCTGACACCCTTGAGCCAAGAGCCTGGTAGAGACAGCTTCCTTCCCAGGGACCACCTACCTGTTAAGAAAGATCACTCTGCAATTGTAGCGGACATTTCGGTGCATCACGGGCCTGTGGGAGAAAGGGGAGGGTCACGGGTGACTGTTCCAGTTATGAGAACACACAGAAAGTGGAGGAGGAAGTGATGGCTCTGGAATCAAACGTCGTTTCCATAGGAAGCTTCCTCAGGTCCTTTAAGAAAATCACAAGGCTCTTCTGTCGTTTTCTCAAATCAAGCTTAAAAATGAGCTGAGGGGCCAGCAGGTGGTGTGGTGGTGAAGGTGCTGGACTCCCACATGGCTGACCACGGTTTGAATTCCAGACCTGGGAGCTTGAAATTCATGCTGGGCATGTGTGTGTGCACAAAATCCCAGGAGGAGAAGGAATTGTGGTAGCATGCCCATCCCCTCCCCACCCCCCGGGGGGAAGGGGCTGATTTCTCGCTTTCCCTCCCACTGTCCATCTCTCTCTCTCTAGCAAGTGCACACGTCCTATGGGAAAAAAAAAAAAAAAAAAAAAAAAACTGAAGGAAAAAAAAAAAAGAGTTGAAATGTTTCAGGAAAAGATTCATCTATCTTAACTGCCCTCAGGGCTCTTCCCCTCCTAGAATGTTCTCAGACTTTCCAGTGGCTGCCTCCCTCCTTTGCTTATGTCTCTGCTGCCCCGTCACATCTGCATCTAGTCGCCTCGTGAACCTACTTCTGAGCAGCTCGACTGCCCAGAGCAGGGATACTCACCACTTAAATTTGCAGGGTAATCAGCCCAGGCCAGAGTGGGGAAGAAAGTCACTTAACACCCTGTGTCAGCCCCTTTCCAGAATTATGCACTGTGCTGCATGCTCCTATCACCTCACGCCACTTAAATTTGCAGGGTAATCAGCCCAGGCCAGAGTGGGGAAGAAAGTCACTTAACACCCTGTGTCAGTCCCTTTCCAGAATTATGCACCTCACGGAGAACCTAGTACCCTAACCCTAAGAGCTGAATGCTCCCAAATCCAAAACTTTTTAGCACTGGCATGACACTACAAGTGGAAAAGTCCACACCTGACCTCATGTGAAGGGTCACAGTCAAAATGCTGCAATATACAAATACTGTGTAAAATTGCCTTCTGCCATACGTATAAGGCACGTGTTAGATCTGGGTCCCACTCCCACGATACTTCATTTTGTATATGCACATAGTCCCTGAAAAAATCCAAGCTCTAAAACACTTCTGGTCCCACACGTTTTGCATAAGGGACATTCGGCCTGTACCTTCCCCTCTGTAAATAAGGGACCAGCACTGGAGAGGTCAGGCAGTTTGGCCTCGGATGCCACGCCCCTGAGCCCGGCCCAGAGCTAACTGACAGCAGCTGGCGGCAGAGCACAGTAGGTACAAGGGAGAGATGGTTCTAAATGGAGCACTGAGGTGAGAGACCATCAAATAGAAATGAATAAGGCAAGTAAACCCATGCCCAGGGACGCAGAAAGAAAAACACTGTTGATAGTGTGGGCCTTAGGGCTTGAAAATATGCCTGTGTCCTGTGTGCGTGTGCACATGTGTGTCCAAAATCCTTATATGAAGGAGAAATGGAGGAAAGGGGACTGTGGCATGGCCCTACCCTAGGGTAGGGTGCTTTTTCCCTGTCTTCTCTGTCTCTCGGCCCAGCATACACACCCTCTGGCAATTTAAAAAAAAAAAGCATGGGCTTTAAAGTCATGTTATTGCAGTTCAGATCCAGCTTTGCCAATGGGGATGGCAGGCTGTGTATAAGGGAAGCACTCACAGCCTCCAGTCCTAGCTGGGGAACAGCCAGCCGCAGGAAATGACATACACCATGAGTTTCTATGCCTGACACAGGCCAACCCAAAACACATTACCAGATGAATACACGCATGTTCTCATTTGTACGAAATACGTACAGAGCATGAGTTAAACAGATATTTTAAGTATCTCAGTGCATATTTGATCTTTAACTGGAGTAAGCCATTCTAATATAAACCGAAACAAACAGAAGCAAAAGACCTAAGAAGCTCCACTACAGGAAACACATAAACAAAATTAAATAGCAAAAAACATACAAGGAAAAATATTTTTATCCTATGTTGATATCTTTTATATATAAATAACTTAAACTGTATACAAACAATTGTTAAAAAAAAAAATGTCACTCCAAAATACTGTTACAAATGACCAATAAACAAAAACTCCATGAATAGGGACCAGCAGATAGTTTAATGGTTCCGTCAATGGACTCTCACATAGTCGATTACAGTTCGAGTCTCAGACCTGGTGGCTTAAAACATGCTAGGTGTGTGTGTGTGCATGCCCAAAATCCCGAGGAGAATGGAGATGAGAGAAGGGATTGTGGTGTGGCCATCCCCCCTGGGCGGTGACTTCTTGCTTTCTGTCCTTCTGTCTCTCTATGTCTCCAGCGAATGTACATACCCTATAACAAAAAAAAACTCCCTTAAAAAAAACAAAAACAAAAACAAAAACACCTCTGTGAATAATAAAAGCAAATAAATAAGACAGTTTTTTATTTTTTTTTAAATTACCCACCACCCTGAAATTCTTCTTTGTTTTGTTTGTAAGGGCTAAACCTGGGGCCAGCAGGTGGCATAGTGATTAAGGTGCTGGACTCCCACATGACGAACCACAGTTCGAGACCTGGATCCAGTGGCTTCAAACTCACGGCAGGCACGTTACGTGTACCCAACCTCCCAGTAAGAGAGCAGAGGAGAAGGTATTGCAGCATGGCCATGCTGCTGGGGCCTGATTTCTCACTTTCCCTCTCACTGTCTCTCCAGCAAGCGTACACGTCCAATGGCAAAAACCTTAAAAAAAAGAAGAAAAAAAAGAGCTAACCCATGTGGATCAAAGCTAAGGTCAACACACCTCAACCACAGAGGGCTGGAACATGACTTAGCACCTTCTTCCTGGAAGGAAATTTAGAAAAAGAATTTGAGATGAAAGGCATTCAATGACATTGCCATTTACACTTTCTGTTTTGTTCAGTGGAGTTTATTGGTCAAGATAAATGCTAGATTTGAAAAGAAAAATATCTTTGAGTATGATTGCTACCATTTTAAGAGTAAAATTATATATATATATAT